CGGGGTGGAACCACCTTTCGCCCTACCTCCCCTGGCACGGACATGTCCCCGTGTCTCCTAGATGTCAACGAGTGCCGGCGGCCAGGAGAGAGACGGGCCTGCCAGCACGCCTGCCACAACACGCCGGGCAGCTATCTGTGCTCCTGCCGCCCCGGGTACCGTCTTAGTGGGGACAGGGTGTCCTGCGAAGGTAACCAGCTCTTCTTCTGTGCCAGGGCTGGGGAGCAGAGTGGGCTCTGCAGTCCTGGCTGCCTCTGAAGTGACAACTCTATTCTTCCTTCCTAGGCTTCCCCAAATCCATCCTGGCCCCATCCCCTATCCTGCAGTCCCTGCAGCACCCACCCACTCTCCTCCTGCTCCCTCCTGGCCCGGGGGGACCCCTCCCGGTCCCTAGGGGCTCCCCCTCTCCCTACCTCCCAGCCCCCCAGCCCCAGCTCCAGGCACCCAAACCCCTTCCTTGCCTGCTGCCCCCTCGTCCCCAGCCGCTGTGCTGTTGCTGCGTACAGAGGGAGCTCCTGGCACCTCTGCGCCGCCGCCGCCGCCTGCTCTGCCATCCCCCCGCTGCTGGTACCGGGGAGCCCCCCGGGAGCACGGCACCCGCTGGACAGAGCCAGGCTGCCTGAGCTGTGCCTGCCAAGTAAGCGCCTCAGCCGCCCTGCCTCGTCGCCTCACCACGTCAGCTGGCCTCGCGGCTAAACCACCGGGTGCTGTTGCAGGAAGGACGAGTGCTCTGCACGTCTGTGAGCTGCCCCGTGGCCTGCTCCCACCCGCTGCCTGCCCCGGGGGGGGGGTGCTGCCCCAGCTGCACAGGTGAGCCGCATCCCCATGTCCCCCCGTGCCCTGCTGCAGCACCCCGTAACCTGCTCCCGGGCCTCGCTTCCAGGCTGTCTGCACGACGGGGTGGCCCGGGCCGAGGGCGATGTCTTCTCCCTGCCAGATGGGAACTGCACCGTCTGCGTATGCCTGGTGAGTCTGCACCAGCTGCACAGGGATCCCCAAGCACCTGTGCTACGGGCAAGGCTGCGCAGGCCCTGGCGCTGGGAATGGCCTCCCTCGTCCTCGCTGACACCCCCCAACTCTCCTGGTTTTGACCTTAGGCCCTTCAAGCTATTTGTGGACCTGGGCTGGACCAGGCTGGGCTGCGGGGGTTTGTCCTGTGTCCAGCTTGTACCACCTCTGGGGTGATGGGCTAGGACATGGGGGATGCTGGGGCAGACCACCTCCCTGACGTAGCGTGGTTCTCCTGTCATGGGAATGGGGCACGTTGCCAGTCTGCTTGGCCCCGTGGCCGTGAAGTAATGGCCCTGGCTGCTGCGCTGTCTCCTCCTCAGGCTGGCAACGTCTCCTGCATCTCCCCCGAGTGCCCTCCAGGTCCCTGCTCCAGCGCCTCGACAGCCGACTGCTGCTCCTGCCAGCCAGGTGGGTCCTGCCACCCCCCAGCACCTACCCTCCCCGGGCACGTGCGGGGTGGAAGGCAAGCCCAGGAGACACAGCTCTCCTGAGAACGGGGTTTTGGCAAGGCGGGATCTGTGCTTTGCTCTCTGCCCCTGGCTGATCCCAGCCCTGGTCTTGCCGCCTCTCCTCCTCAGCAAAATGCAACTTTCATGGCCGCACATATGTACATGGAGCCCGGTTCAGCCTGGATGGGGATGACTGCACCACCTGTATCTGCCGGGTAGGTTCCTGTACCCAGCAGCATGGGTGCCCTGGGCAGGGGACGTGGGTCTGGTAGTCTCCCGGGGGTGCTCCTGGACACAGGGCTTCCTGCCTTCCCCCACCATGCTGCTGTGGGGATCTGGCCCATCTCTGGGTCCTGCAGAGCAGACAGGCCCTGACCCCGGAGCAAAAGCCCTGGACACAGGGCTCAGCTGCCCTGCAGGGTCAGCAGGTGACATGTCCTCGTCTCCTCAGAGTGGTGAGGTGGAGTGCTCCTTCACCCCATGCCCTGCGCTGGACTGCCCTCAGCAGGAGTGGCACCTGGGCCCTGGGCAGTGCTGCTTCACCTGCCGGGACCCCCCGCCCCCCTCAGGTGAGCTGGCGTTTCGGGGACCTGGGGGACACCTGGGGGCTTGTCTGAGTCTGGGGAGAGCAGAATGTGGGGGTTGCATGGGGACAGGCAGGGTATTTGGGGGAAATGTGGGGTTTAGAGGCAGTGAGTGGGGAGCTGGCACCAGATGGGAGATGTGTGTGCAATCACTGCGCTGCCCACGTGCATCCGGCACAAGCCGGATAGGATGTGTGTGTGTTTGTGGGCCTGGCAGTTAAGTGTACATCAGCAAGGTGCAGGGCTCCGTGTGATCTTGCACGTGTTCTGGCTCTGCTCTGCCCCATCTCAGCTCTGCCATGCCTCTCTCCCCACTAGGTTGCTATGTGGATGACAACGGGGTCGAGTTTCCTGTCGGACAGATCTGGTCTCCGGGCGATCCCTGTGAGTTATGCATCTGCCAGGTGAATGAGAACCTGCTCTGCTTCACTCCTCCTACCTGCCCCTGCCCCACATCCAGCTCCTGGTGCCAGTCCCCGTCCTGTGCTGCCCCTGTGGCTCCCTGGCTCTGTATGGCATGGGGAGGCCACAGGGGCAGGGTCTGAGAAGGAAAGAGCGATTGTTTCGATACCAAAGCAAAGCACCTCTCTGGCTGCTTCCTCTCTTGAACCTGCTTCCTCTGGCCTTCCTCCTGTCTGGGTTCCCAGGACACATAGCCCTTCTCTTGGGATCCCTGGGGTGCTCATTGCCAGTAGCCTGGTCGTTCCCTGCTCCCTGTGGCAGTTACACGGACAAAGCGTATGCCTCATTGCAGAGTGGCTTTCCCAGCCCAGCAGCTTCCATCGTAACCGCCGGCTGGTGTTAGTGGGTCACCGCCAACACGTAGCTCGTCCAGACTTCCCCTGCGTGGTTCCAGGGAGCTCCCTGCCTTTGTGGGCCTTAAACACCTCAGCTTTGGGCAGCATCTCCATCTTTCTCCTGGAAGGATCCAGGCAGAGGTGGCTGTACTTGACGCTGAGGTGCAGCCAGCTCTGGGGTGGAGCAGAGCAGGGGCAGGACAGATGGCACTGACGCTGGCCCTAGGCTTCTGTCAAGTGCGTCTCTCTTGCAGGCAGATGGCTCAGTGAGCTGCAAGCGGACGGACTGCGTGGAGACATGTCCCTACCCCATCCAGATCCCCGGGCAGTGCTGTCCTGACTGCTCAGCAGGTGACAGGGCCTGAGGGAGCTGGCGGGTGTGTGTTGGAGAGGTGCCAGCCACATGCCCCCATCCCTTCTCTGAGTACCTACCACCAGCCTGGGGCAGGTTTGGAGCCAGTGAGCCTGTACTTCAGTGGAGGGGGGCTCCAGCAGGCCTGGGTCCCTGCTGGTTTTTTTTTACCCCACCCTCTCCTCCCCACAGGCTGCACCTACATGGGAAGGATCTTTTACAACAATGAGACATTCCCATCTGTCCTGGACCCCTGTCTAAGCTGCATCTGCCTGGTGAGGGCTCCTTCCAGGGGCAGATTCCCCCAACAGCAGCCAAAATGTCAGCGGTGGCTGGGTTTTGCGGGTGTTTCCTGGACGCATGGGGCTCAGCTCTGGCCTGTGTTCTCGGGGGAGCCTGGCCTACTGTAGTATGAAAGTGTAGGGCAACAGTGTCTATGCATCAGCATGCAAATTGTCTCTTGATTTCTGCAGCAGTGTCAGGAGGTGAAAGCCTTTCAGATCTCATCCTTTTGGCTGAGCCCCAGTTTTTTTCCTCCGTTGCAGGAAAAAACTTAAGTGTTTTGGGGTTAGTCCCTTCTCCCCTGCCTGGGACCCCCAGCCTGCCCTGGTCTTGCTAACACAGAGCCTTTGCACATGTCTCTCCCGTGTCTTGCAGCTGGGCTCAGTGGCTTGCTCACCTGTGGACTGTGCCATCTTCTGCACGTACCCGTTCCACCCAGAAGGGGAGTGTTGCCCTGTCTGTAACGGTAAGAGAGCAACTGCCATGAGTCACCCCAGGCCACGTGCAATTGCTGGGCCCCATCTCCCCGTCCATCAAGGTGGTGGGGCTCTCCTGGAGCCACTTGAGATGAGCCAAGGAGGCTGGTGCAGGAACCCGGCAGCAGCAGGAGGAGGGTGCTCAGCACCCGCTGCAGTGCTGCCTGGCACACAGGCGGTCGCTCAGCTGCTGTGAAAGTCGCTCTTCGCCCCACTCTCTGCAGACTGCAACTACGAGGGCAGGAAAGTGATGAACGGCCAGACGTTCAGCCCTGAGGGTGAGCCATGTACCCGCTGCACGTGCCAGGTGAGTGGGGGCTGCTGGGTGTGGAGAGCTGCAGGCCTGGAGCCCTGAGGTGGGAGCGGGGTTTTGTTGCTGCTAGCTGTCTCCAGCTCCAGGCTTGGGCTCTATGAGCTGGAGTGACCCAGAGGCCCTCCCTGCCATGGTGGGGCTGTGCCAGGCACTGTGGCAGAGGGGAGTGTGGGGTGGGGGCTGACAGAGCCATCTCACCCATGCTTTTGCCCCTCGCTCTCAGCTCGGGGAGGTGAGCTGCGAGAAGAGGCTGTGTCCCCAGTCCTGCGCAGAGCCCACCATGCTCCCAGCTGCCTGCTGCCCGGCCTGCCACGGTAATGGGGATGCCCAGGGTGCTGGGACAGGGTCCAACTTGGCTGTGAAACCACTGTGGCCTTGCTGTCACGATGCTCTGAGAGAGACGGGTGCTGTGGTGCTATGCGTGACCTGACCATGCTGGCTGCACCCCAGGGCAGCTTGGTGCCCAGCTGTGCTGGGGCTTGATGCTGGATGCAGCTGCACCCCTCTGGCCCCAGTGTAGGCCGTGAGTGGGGTCTGGGGGGGAGGAGGTGAGGTGCTAATCCAAGGCATCTCTCTCCATTAGCAGCAGATTCCCGGGTCCTGCTGCAGAGCAGTGACCCTTCCCCATCCCATGATGACTCGCCTGCCAGCACCCCACGTCCCAGCCTTCCACCATCCACTGCCTCTCCGCGCCGCCTGGCCCAGCTTCTGCTCCGCGCTAGCCTGCCTCCTCTGGATGCTCAGCCCCCTGACGCAGCAGCCCCCAGCCCCTCTCCGGGCAGCGCAGTGGCTGGGGCGTCTCATCTGCTGGGGCCAAGCCCCCCAGAGCGCCATGGGGGGCCCTTGGCAGCCGTTCTGCCCACTCCTCTCCCTGGTCCCACTGGCTTCTTTGGCACTGCGGCTGCCATGGGCAGCCCCAGCTCAAGCCCTGAGGCTCAGGGACCTCCTGAGGATGTGGACCCCTCAGCTGTGCTGCCATCCAGCATGGAGCACCCCCGGGGCCACACGGCTCCCTAGAGCACTGGGTGCTGTGTGTGCCTGGTGCAATGTGAGGAGGAGGAGGCCTGCAGGACCAGCAGGCCTGGCCTGACAGACCCCTGTGGGGTGGGTGGCTGGGGATGGGGCATTGAGGCATGTGGGTCTCCACACTTAATACACAGGGAGGGTGAGGGTCCTTGCTCTCTACTCGCCTGTGCTGGGCTTTGCCCCTCTTCCTGGGGCAGAGGGTGCGTGGACCCCGGGTACCGTGGTCTCCTGGCTCCTCACTGTGTCAACACGCAGGGGGCCGGGGCATGGGACTGGCTGTGAACAGTCTCCCTGGCTGGGGCAGTGCAGGATGTGGAGGGGGGAGAGGCCTCTGGCTGGGGGCAATGCTAAGCTGGGTGCACCCTACCAGCCCCTGGCTGCTGCAGACTGGCGCCATGATCCCCCAGGTCCTCAGTGGCCACCCTCGCCCCCTGTCGTGAACAGGGGGCAGGCTGGCCTTCCTCCCGCAATGGCCGAGCATGGCCCTGGGCCCTGGCTCCCCTTGCAGCATCAATAAAGTTGCCCTGGTATTTATGCCCTGCGTTCCCTGCTCCTGCCTGTGCTCAGCACTCAGCCCAGTGCCGCAGGCTCCTTCAGATGGGCTTGCTCGGTGGGGGAGGTTTTGGCTGTGGGTTGTGTGCCCATGCCTGCCCTTGGACAGGTGGGGTCTCACATGGGACTGGCACCCTGCTTTTCCCCTCAAGGTGGCAGGGCTTCAGCCAGAGGGATAAGGGCTTGGGTGGAAGCGGAGCTGGGAGGGTCAGGGAGATGCTTTGCCAGACGGTGAGCCAATGCAGGGTCCAAGGGCTGGGTTACGATTGGGGTGGGATGGCTCACGGACCTGCCCTTGCTCCCCAGTCCCAGCGAGGCCAGCGCAAGGACTAGGGTCAGCAGCCCTTTATTGTGCCACGGTGGCAGGTTCACACTGCGGGCGCCAGCCCCACCATGTTGTTGGCCCTGTCGAAGACGCTGTAGTAGTGGCGCAGGAAGATGTCCCCGAGGATCCAGAGCTCACCTGCTGCTGTGTGGAAGTCGAAGACCCCGAAGCCACTCAAGCAGGAGCCGTCCTGTAGCTAGTGGGGACAGGAGGCAGCGGTGAGCGCCGGCGAGCCCTCATCACCAGCCAACGTGCACTCCGCTGGGGAGGACAGTGCATCTGTCCTCCTGGAGCAGTTTCTGTCTGTCATCCCCTACACAGCGGCTCTCCGGGCTCTCCCGGAGCTGTTTGCCTCCTCCGTCTAGCCATGCCTGACACATGTACCTACCTGGCGGATGTAGGCTTGGGGCGGCAGTGGGAACTGGGCGCCGTTGATGATGAAGATGATGTCAGGCAGGCGGCTGATGAAGCTGCAGCTCACCATGGACTGTGGGGTTGGGGGGAAGTGACAGCTGTGCTTCAGGTTTGACCTTTCCCATGGGAAGCACATGCCCAGCCTCGAGCAAAGCCAGGATGCTTGATTCCTTGCTCCTCCCACCAACTCTTCTTCCCGTCCCGCCCTGTCCCCTCATGCTAACCAAGCCATTGCTGGCCTGTGCAGCACCAATTTCATATTGGATGTTGTTGATGCCGGCAGCAGGTCCAGCCACCAGTGAGGTGCCGCTGTCCACGATGCTCTGGCAGCCGTAAGGGCAGGCGATGGGGCGGCCGTACATGGTGATGCTGGGGAGACAGGGGCAGCCCATAAGACGGGCATCCTGGCAGGGATGTGGTGGCACAGGGAGATGGAGGGATGGGCACTACCTGTCCACTTTGATTTGCCAGTAGGTTTCTGCGGACAGGGGGATCCAGCTGAGGTTTCCGGTGAAGTAAGTGTCGTCGATGCCACCAAACATCACAAAGCTGCCATTCTTCCCGTCGCTGGAGAGGGGTGATAGGGGAGTCAGTGAGGGCTAGGGCAACAACGGGGGATGTTCTGCTGGCTGACATGAAGCTAGGACACTGCTCTTCGCCGGGGACTCCTGATGCCTTGTCTCCTGGTGGAAATTACCAGGAGGCGAGGGAGAGCAGTGGTGCCTGCTGTGGTGCCTGCTGTGTCCCCTTGGACCTGGCTGCTACTCCTCTTCTGCACAAGAGAACACTGTGTGCAGAGTGGGTATGTGGGCTCCGATTGGAGAGACCTGCTGTGGGGAGTCTAGCAAAGCATGAGTTCAAACCTGCTTTGGGAATGAAGTTGTCTTGAAGCTGAGCTCTGCCCTTCAGTAATGTTACTTCCAGATGTTTGTTTGATCCCTTGCGCAGAATGCTAGCTTTGCTGCACGCCAGCAACGACTGCATTTCCAGCCTCGCTGGGCCTGGTGGCTGTGCAACGTGCCTCAAGAGATGCCCGGATCCAGCTTAGACTTACGGAGTCAGGTAGATGGAGAAAAGATCCTGGGACACCAGGCCTTGGCTCATCATGTTGTCAAAAATGGGGGTGGCTCTGGAGGAAGAGATGCTGGGGAAGGCCAGCCCCAGGAAGCCGTCAAAAGGTGCATAGTAGAGGAAGGAGCTGGGCTCAGTCTTGCTTAGCCCAAAGATCTGATTGGGCACCTGGATGCCCCCAACCTGTGGGGGAGACCGGGAAGGATGAGGCACATGTCCTGGGTTACACTGCCCCATCCGCAGGTGGCTGGGGAGGACGGGGAGAGACCCAGATAGCATCAGTGTAACTCCCCTCCTCACTCTGCCCTGGCTTTGTCCCCCTACCATTGCCTTTTCCCCCACTCCTGCAGCCAGCACAGCTTGCCTTTTCCATCCTCCTCACCTGGACGGTGTCATAGGCCAGGTAGCCCGTCATGCTGCCAGTGCCGTACCAGGTGGAAACGGTGGCAGTAGTGCCGCGATAGGTGAAGGACAGCGCTGGGTTGTAGCGCCGGTGATCAGCTATTACGGCAGAGAAGCGGAGTGAAAAAACGGAGCTGGTGGCAAGCACAGCAGAGAGCAGCTGTTGCAGCCACTGCTTCTGGCATCCCCCAGAGCTGACTGGGGTGATTTAGCACCCCTCTTTAGGGCAGAAGAGCAGAGGCAGCCACATCTGGGCTGAGAGATGGGTTGGTGCCGGGGGGGGGGGGACCATCCCACTGGATTTGCGTCCCGCAACGCTTACCGCAGGCATCGCTGAAGCAGTATACCGAGGGCACCCACAGGTTGGCGGAGCCAGTATCGAAGAGGACGGCAAACTCCTGGGCCGGGGTGCCAATGGAGATGGTTCCCACATACTCCAGCTGCCAAACCACAGCAGAGGGTCTTAGATACCCACCCTGCAGTGCGCATCTAGCATGCCTAAAGCACCCATGCACGTAGTTCCCCTGCACGGCATTGCCCACCGCCGCTCCCAGCACCAGCTGAAGGCCATCACATCCCCCGGGTCTTCCCTCACTCACATCCATGTAGTTTGTCAGGAACTCGGTGGTGGCTGCAGTGGGGAAGTACTTGGCAGCCAGAGAGGGGGGATGTTTGCTCATGAAGTCCTCCAGCAAGCCGTGGTCCATGAGGGTTTGTCTCAAGGGCTTCCTTTTCCTCAGGCTCACCCTAAGAGAGAAGGCTGCAGTTAAAGATGGGGGCAGAGAAGGGTTTCCAGGCGGCAAGAACTGGCTTTTCATTGCTTCTGGTCAGGACTTTTCAGGGGGTTGATTGCAGGCGATGTGCAAATTCCTGGAAGAAGCTTGCTTATAAGGCACCGAGGCTGGATGGTTCCCCAGAAGAAGGTCTCCCAGACCTTTTTTTTGCCCAGGAAAATGACAAAAAGCCAGATCTGTGCCTCCAAGAAGCCACTGCTTGGGTTTAGCCCGGTGCTTTCCAGTGAGGAAGGTGGTGATAACGACTAAGCGATAGCCCAACCCTGCATACGGTGCAATCCACCTCCAGCATGCTGGGATGGCAGCTGCCACTAGCTGTAGGGGGCAAGCACTGCCTTCCCCAGCCCAAAGCACAGGCTGCATCCCGGGTCCTACGCTTGGGGTGCAGCAGAGCTGGCCGTGGGGCTCCACCCCAAGTCCCCCATGAGGACCTGTGTCCCATGTGGTGCCTTCCCACCCTACTCACTTGGTCACCAGGCCCTGAGCAACAGCCACCAGCCCCATGAGCCAGAGCCACTTCATGGCGAAGCCTCGCGCTGATGTGCGGGGATGGAGCATGACGGTGGCCCTGGGGCACTGGCCCTTATGTAGGGGCCATGTCGAGGTGTTCCTGGCCCTGGGAGCCCGGATAAGGAGTGCCGGTCGCCCCGATAAGGGCTGCCTGAGTGCCCCAGCTCAGCCCGGGCAGCTGGAGGCCCCAGCCTGAAGTTGGCACAAGTGCCGGGGCTGTTTGCACACCCGTGGGAGGCACAGGGGCTGGCTGGGCACACGGGCTCCCTTGGTCAGGGGCACTATCCAGCTGTTCCCACCCCAGCTGCAGGGATGGAGCAGGTCTCCCTGTGGGGTGGGCGTAGGGGCTCGGGACGTTGGGCTGCAGGAGAGGTCCCCAGGCGCAATGTGCTGGTGGGCTCCTACATCTTAGGGTGCCCAGGGCTGGCTTTGGGATGAAGTGGCAAGAAGCTGGTGACAGGCTGCCACAAGGCCGCCCAGGAGCTGGTGGGGGGCTGAGAGCTCAATGGGCCATGCTGGCCCTGGGGGTCGGAGCTGGCCTCAGCCCTGCCATGCCACATGGTCCCAGAGGGGACCCTTGTCTGCAGTGGCGGGTGGTGCACTTTGTGAGCCACAGACCTGTGTGCCAGGAACAAACACAGCACTAGGTGAGCCCTATCAGCTCGGCGACAACATTTGCTTTGCACGGGGCTCTATCAGGCCCGATAAGCAAGCGGTGAGCAGCTGGGAGCGCCGTTGGCCAAAGGCAGCGACTGCCCTAACAAAGAGGCCTGTATTGCATGGGCTGAGTGTGTGGTGGGGTGGGCGCAAAACCTTATCTGGGACAACTCCTGCATGGCTCAGGGCAACCCTCAGCGCCGGCTGAAGGACTCTTCGTCCTGGTGTCTGCCCCATGCAGCAGCAGCAACCCGGCTAGGGCCGCAGTGCTGGAGAGCTGCCTTGGGCATCCCACAAGGGGCTGCGAGGACCGTCCTGGCAGGCAGCACTAACTGCCGGGGTCTCCAGTCCCGCTCCCTGCTCTGCCCTGGGGAGGCCTCTTGCAGGCAGCCAGTTGCTCTGAGGGGCCCCATCCCTAGCAAAGTTCCTGGAGCTGGCAGCTCTTGACCCGTCAACCCTTGTTCTCATCAAGGAGTTAGCATCTCCCAGTCCCTGTTGCCACCGTGCTGGGATGGTCCCCTGGGAGCAGGAGGGCCACCCTTGCCTGCTTACCTGCTCTCCCCCAGCCCCTTGGTGATGGTTTCTGCACCTCGTGGAAACAGTTTGGCAAGAGGGAAGACCAGAGCTGCCATCTACGGGCAAGCGGGTCTGGCCAGCCAGCGTGTCAGTCCGGATTGAGGCCAGGGATGGCAGGCTGCTGGCTTCAGGCCAAGAGCAGTCTCATGCTGTGGCCTGAGCCCTATCTAGCCTTTGCAGTGGGAGCCCGCAGGGGCTGATCTGGGAACCCAGCTCTGCTCTGGGTGCAGCACCATCCAGCTGAGCAGTGCAGTGTGGCTGGCAGTCTAGAGGGTGTCCGGGAAAAACAATTGAGCATCCCCTCTTCTCCTCCTTCCCCCATGCCCAGGGTGCCTCGTGCTGTGCCGAGCAGGGGACACGGTGTTGTACACGACCAGCATGTGTGCCGCAGAGATGTCGCATGGCTCGGGGTGATCTCCTGAGCCGTGGGGCTATTTGTCAGGACAGTTGAGCTCCTCGTTCTGGGGGGGTGTCTGCACCAAATTCGCTCATGGTGAAGTTCTTGGATACCTTTATTGCCCTGTTTCTGACAAGATGAGCGTGGCAATGTCCCCCCCCCCCCCCCCCCCCCCCCAGCCCGGGCATGCTCAAGGGAGTGGGATGCTCCATGCGGATGCATGTCCTAGCCTGCAGGTGTTGGCCCACCAAGTTGTTGACCCTGTCAAAGATGCTGTAGTACGGGTGCAGGAAGATGTCCCCAAGGACCCAGAGCTCACTGGCTGCAGAGAGGCAAGTTGATGCCCATGAAGCCGAGGATGCAGGTGCCCTGGATGCTGAAGCTCCCCGGGTACCACAGGGAGCACAAGTGGGGCAGGGGCTCAGGCGTGGCAGATGGCACCAGTGGGCTCCCAGCCTCGCAGGGCTCCCTGCACACCTCCAGCTCTCATGGGCATCTCAGCATTTCCTGGCCACCGTGAGGAGGGCGTGTTACCTGTGCACGGGGATCTGCTAGGAGTTCTCCTGCAAGAGGGGGATCCAGTGGAGGCTCCCAGAGAGATAATCCATGTCAACGTCCCCAACCAGCATGAAGTTTCTGGTCTCGTTGCTGGGGAAGGCAAACACACTCTCTCTGCTACAGTCCACAGTTGGGGGCTGCTGGTGGCAGGGCACCAGGCTAGGAAACTTCCCTTTGCCCTGCCGCGCTGTTGGGATAACCCTGCTTTGCTCCAGACTGGCTCCCGCAGTGGGAAACACGATCTGGAGACCAACTCGCTGGATTTGAGGTACTGCAGCAGGACATGCTGCAGAGACCTCCCTCCACCCAAAGCAAAGCCTGGCTGGTGTTCCTCTGGCACTGCTTCATCCTTGCATCTCTGGCAGCTGAGACCCAGCAGACTCAATACTCACATCCAGGTTGTTCACCAGGGGCTGTGTGTGAGCCCCGTTGCAGGGGGACAGGTACATCTTCAAGAAGTCCTCCAGCAAGCCGCAGTCCACCAGTGTCTGCAGCAGGGGTGATCGTCTCTGCAGCAGCACCCAAGACCCTCAGACCCCGGGGGTGAGGCGCTGCCTGGCACCCCCCCCCTGCAGCAGGAGGCTGAGGCTCAGGGATGTCACTAGGGTGAGCACCCAGCCCAGCTTCCCCCTTACACTGCTGCAAACAGCCCCCCCACACACACTTTATCCCCATGCCATGATTTAATATCTGCAAATGGGACTTGCAGCCCTCTTCCCGGCTGCAGCCAGCCCCAGGCTGTGTCTGAGCCTCCCCAGGGGGCAGCGTGAGAGCCTGGTGCTGGGACTCTCTGCTTTCTCTCTTTTATATGCTCAGTGTAACCCTGATAAGAAAGGCAAACCTCTCCAGGTGGGCTGGTATGGGGAAGGGTTCCTGGAAGGATTTCCGTTGCTGCTGCCAAGGCCAGGACGGCAGAGGGGGCTGCTGGGGATGATATCAGCCTCTTTGGCCAAAAAAAGCCAGCGTGAGCTCCCAAGACTGTCAGGCACAGCCCATTTTCCTAGCCCGTCCAGTCTGGGCTTGCAGCACGCATCTCCCGGGGTGCCAGGCACCGCTGTCCCCAGCATCCGGCAGCCCCCGGCAGCAGCACTGCCACAGGATCCCACTAGACAAGGAGGTCATTGCGAGGGGCATGACGTTTTCAAGGGGCACAGGGAGACAAGAGACAAGGATGAGGTTTGGGATGGAGGTAGAAATGCAGGATGCAGGCACCATTGCTGGGGCCAAAAGCGGCTCCAGGATTGGGATAACCCTGCTACATGCTTGCTATGCTCTCGAGGGCTGAGGCATTGAGTCATGCTTGGGCATGCAAATCAAAATACACACGGGGTCCCTCTATGAGATAAGCACTGCCTTAAGAGACACCCCAGCCATCCCGGGCATTGGTCAGAATCTGGCTCAGGCAGTTCAGCAGTGAGATCTCCAATGCCTGTCATGAGATGTCTTTGTGAGTCCCTATCTGGTCCTGAGAGGGGAGTTTGAGGATGGAGAAACCTGTAGCAAAATCAATCCCTTGGAAAGGAGATGCTGTGACAGGCCTGTTTCCTCCTGAACCCCGAGGGTGAGGCAGGAGGGAGTGAGGGTGGGTGAATTCAGGGCCATTTGGAAGGGAAGGAGCAAAGGAAATGTCTGGCTCTCCTGGGCTGGAGCAGAAGGGGAAAAGAAGGCATAAAAGACTTCTGTGCCCTGGAGACTTTCTAGAGATGTCAATAGCTCTCTGCTCTTTCCTCTTCCAGCATTTTGGGCACTCACCAGCTTACCAGCTCCCTTAGGATGGCTGAAAGGCACAGGGCTGGGGGCTGCCCCAATGCCTGACTGCTCTGGTGCATCGAGGTACCTGCTGGCATCAAGGGTGGGATGGACAAGGCGCCTGCTGGTGGTGCCTGACCCTGTCTGTCTGTGCTGGGGGGAATGTGATGTTATCCTGACCTAGTCATATCACATTTTAATGGCCGTTGCCAGGCAGAGCAAGGCCACAGGGAGTGTCTGAGCTCTTATGGTTTCTTGCGGATGCTTGTTTGTTTTATTTGCTTCCTGCCTGTCACATTGAGGAGATGTGGCCCATGGAGCCCTGGAGCCAGGCTGCAGAGTGGCGTGGGGTAGGTGAAGCCCAAGGGCTGGGATTTGCTGTCCCTTGTTTTGGCTCTGATGATTTCTACTCCCCAGATCACTTGTACCTTGATGCATCCCCTGCAGCTCTACCATCTCTGCATGCCATGAGCCCCCCACCCCACCCTCCCAGGCTCCATGTGCTGCCCAGGTGACCTGCTATGTCCAAGGGTAGCCTCAACCCTTCGTCCTTCCCCCTTTGACCAAGGCTATGGGCCTGCCGTTCAGCTGGGGTAATGCAACCAGTATTTTTCCCCACTGAGACAGTCATGTGGGCACCCTGTGGGCTGCACCCCCTGCACGAAAGCTCTGTGGCCCTGTGTTAAGATCAGTCGAAGGATAAGTTGGCAGCATCAGCATCGGGGCAGACTGAGCCCATCCTTCAAAGGGACACACGAAACACCAGTGCTTTTGCATTGCTTTATTCTGTATGATAACTGCCACAGGAGGGGATGGGAGCACTGGGCCAGGACCAGCCTAGCTCTCCCTCTGAGACAGTTTGCAGATGTATGTGGTGCTGGCGTGCTCAAGACAGGGGGGACAGGCCTACCCTGTTGTTGGCCCTGTCAAAGACCACATAGTACTCATGGATGAAGACGTCCCCGAGGATCCAGAGGTAACCAGACTCAGTGGGGAGGTTCATCGCTTCGAAGGCAAGGCTGCAGGACCCATCGCTCTGCAGTCAAGAACATGGACCCCAGTGGTTATTGGTGTTTTAATCGCCCTAGCCCTCGAGGTGAGCTGAGGGGTGAGAGGGGCTGGGCAGTTCTGCAGGTAACTGAGTTACGCAGAGATGGTAACCCTAAATGTGGAGATTCAGGGCTACGGTGGGGTGAAGACATCTAACTCAGCTTTCCTCAGAGGACTGAAAGATTATTCACCCCGCTCAGAGCCCCACCTGGCTTGGCTGCAGGGTGCAGGGGGCCACATGCCCCAACCCCCTTCCCATGCAGGATGCTCACCTGCAAGATGTAGCTGCTGGGAGGCACAGAGAAGGCTTGGCCATTGAGGTTGAAGACTATATCGGACAAGCTGCTGATGCTGTCGCAACTGATCTGTGGGGAAAGACGAGCAGGCAGGGATCAGTGGCTGTGCAGGCAGGCAAGGAGCTGGCACAGAGCTCCCTGGAAGAGATGGGGACCGGCGCACCATGGAGCTGCCCCAGGGATTTAACTCTGCACTTCTGCCCTGGAGAGGGGCTTTCAGCTCTGAGCAGCAGCAGCTGGCTCAGTCTCCAGACTGGATCTGGCCTTTAGAGGGAGACAGAGCCCCTGACTTTGCTCTGGTAGCTGTGCATGGGGCATGAACCCTCCCCAGGACACAACCAGGCTGGGCCTTCAGCATGAGCTGTGCAGGACTAGGGGTTTCCCAAAGCCCTGCCTGCTTCCCCTGCTCCCCTGGGGTCTCACCTCGCCGTTGGAGTTGGCACCAAGGGCAGACTGGATGTTAGCAACAGCGGTGCTGGGGGCAGCCAGCAGAGAAGTGCCAGTGTCAATGATGGCCTGGCAGCTGGATGCACAGGCAAGGATCTCCCCGCTCATGGAGACGCTGGAGCAGAGAGACAGGAGTGAGGTTCTTGGTGCTGTGAGCAACCGAGCAGCAAAAGGCTGTGTTCCCTACTCGCCAGCCATGGCTCGAGCAGGGCATCAGAGTGTCGTGGGCTCCACGAGCTGTGTCTCCCTTGGTCCCATGGCCATTGCCCTCATGCCTGCCTGTCCCTCTCCCAGCCCTGGTGCAATGGGGTTACCTATCCATGGTGATCTGCCAGTAGCTTTCAGCAGAGAGAGGGATCCAGGTGAGGCCTCCAGAGGTGTAAGAGTAGTCAATGCCGCCAAACATGACAAAGCTGCCGCTCTCATCATCGCTGTGGAAGGGAAGAAGAATCAGGTGCCTGGCCAGAGCAGTTGTTACAAGGGACCGTGGCAAATGAATTGTGTGAAGCTGTGACCAGACATGGTGGGCTACCACATCGCACAGAGCAAGGTGCAGAAGTGCTTCATGCAAAGCATGGGCTTGGGTCTTGGGCACAACTGGGGACCATTCAGTGTGAGAGGACTAGGAAACCCTCTGCAAGGGCTGGGCCATCTCAAGCCCTAACTTACTTGCTCAGATAGACAGAGAAGAGGTCCTGGGACACCAGGTCTTGGCTCATCATGTTGTCAAAGACAGGGGTGGCTCCAGAGGAAGCGATGCTGGGATAAGCCAGGCCCAGGATGCCATCAAAGGGGCAGTAGTAGAAGAAATCGCCAGGCTCAGTCTCACTCAACCCAAAGATCTGGTTGCTGATGCTGATGCTCCCAACCTGGTCAGAGAGACAGGGAGAAGGAGAGGTGCCTCAGTTTGCCCTGGAAGTGCCTGATATCTCCTCTGTTGCGAGGCAAGGAGCTGAGGTGTCTCTGTCTTACGTCAACAGTGTCATAGCCAAGGATGCCGGTCATGCTGCCGGTGCCATACTGGATGGAGAGGCTGTCGTTGGTGCCCTCAAAGGTGGAGGAGTCTGCTGGGTTGAAGCGGTTGTGGTTGGCTATGGACAGAGGAGAGAGAGACAGTCATTATCTGGCCATTTCTTGGACATGGGATCCAAGGATAAGGCAATGCTGCTGCATGGCGCCGCAAGAGATGCTGCGCTGCACTACGAGGCTGAGCTGGGGTGCCTGGTGGGGGGCCTCTCTGCAGCCTCCAGTGGCTGCTGGACACGTACTGCAGGCCTCGCTGGAGCAGTACACTGAGGGCACCCACAGGTTGGAGGAACCGGTGTCAAAGAGGACGGTGAACTCCTGGGCCGGAGTGCCGATGGAGATGGTGCCGAAGTACTCCGTCTGTCAAAGCAGGACAGGTAAGGACTTAGTGAGCAGGTGGGATGCACAGCCTGTGCCAGCCCGCAGGCTGCCACTTGCCTGCCATACTCACATCCATGTAGTTCTCCAGGGGCTCGGAGGAGACTGTGCCGGCCAGAGAGGGGAAGTATTTGGAAGCCAAGTTGTAAGGGTTGTGCTTCAGGTAGTGCTCCAGCAAGCCATGTTCCTTCAGGGCCTTCCGCAGGGACTTGCCTTTCCTCAGAGAGATCCTGCATGGCCAGGAGGGAGAGAGGAACTTCTCAGGAACGAAGAGCAACCACCAGCCCTGGGCTGGAAGGCAGCGTGGTCCCGCGCTCCTGAGGCAAGAATGGCCCCCCAGGACTGTGCGCTCCCCCCCCCACCCCTGGGAGCAGTGGGTCCGAGCTGTGCGATCACCTTGTGCGAGTCCTGGGACACGTCTCTTACAGCAGGCCCCGAAATGCATGGTGTGGGACCCAGGGGGCCACCCCTGCCTTGGGGAGCCAGGGCCATTGCAGTGGCTCAGAGGACGCATCAAGCAGACAAGAGAGCCTGGGCACTGGGGCGCTCAGGATGCCCCTGATGCAGCATGGGAAGCAGTGCTCAGCACCCCCTGCAAGCCACACCCGATACTCACTTGGACACATGGCACTGGGAGAGAGCCACCAAGCTGAGAAGCAGGAGCAGCTTCATCATGTCTCCTTACACTCAATTGCCAGTGCAAGGAATGGAGCAATGCCCACGTCCCACTCCTTATATACTCAGCGCACCAAGCCGCTCTTATTTGGCCAGCATCCCTGATAAGAAAAGCAAACCACTCCGGTGGGAGTTATCACAATGTCCTTAAAGGTGATGTGAAGGAAAATCAAGATAACAGATTTCCATCTTCACCGGGCTCGCGCTAGAGAAATGCCTAGCAAGGGATTAGGGATGCTCCTGACAGCCTCAGCTTGGAAAAGTAATGGCTTCAAGTTGCTTCAGGTTGTGACGGGGAGGGTCTTGAGGGAGCAGGGCAGGATACAGAGGCTTTTGGCAGGCTGGTGCATGCTACTGTCCTTATAGGATTGTAACGCACGGGAGCAGTCAGCATGGGCAAGGACTCCTCTGCCAAGCGCTGCATCCCTAACAATCCCTTCTGCAGAGCCAGCGAGCGTTGTCCACAGCCCAGGGGAGCAGGTACTGTGAGGCCGGGTGCTTGCCAGTTTTGATGCTGCTACATAGGGAAGGGAGGGCAGAGGATTAATGGTGACTGGGGACAGTGCGGGAGGCAGCCTTTAAGGGCCACTGCTGGGGATGAGCGGTGGGGCCCGCATCCACCCAACTTGCCTCGGGCAAAGAGGGCCAGTGTAACTCGGAGGGGGTGGGGAGAGAGAAAGGAAATGTCACTTGTTTCCCAGGAGGAGCCAGTTACTGGGACCTTTGGGTTCAACCCTCCAGGCCTGGATGTACAGAAGACTTGTTTGTGCCGCCACTGGACTACCTCTGATGTTATGCAAATCAACAGCATACCTGCGTATGAGGAAAGGCAGGGTAAATCACATGCGATTAGATAACAGCATTTATTTTGCAATTGGCTCTAACTTTCCAGGGATAACCACCCCCATTGCAGAGGATGACGTTTTTTATGGGCTTGGGAGGTTTTCCTGAGGTCAGGAAAAAGGGTGGGGGTGAGGGGCTGATCTGGATTGTCCTTGCCACTCTTCAAAGAGCAAAGCATCGGTTGGCAGAAGTTTATCACTGTGGCACTTGCACAGAGCTGTAGGGCTGGCACAGAAATACCCAGCTCTTTACGATATCCTGGTATCTCACAGCCCTTTGCCATTAGACCTGATCATCAGCAATATTTGCTCCTGTGCTGGGTCCTCTAGCACAAAGATAAAGATGTCCCAGTCTGCAGGGAATGGGATAATTCCGGATGGGATGCCAGGAATATAGCACAAGCTGCGATTGTCCCTGCTAACCTCCCTGCTGCTCTGGACAGGCAGACCCCTTTGGACTCATTCTTCAGCTTCTTTTGCAGGACACTGACCTGGGATGGTTTAGGCAACTGGTGGGACTGGTCCCAGCCAGGTGCAGGCATGTCCATGCACTGCAACACACAGGAGGACAGGGAAAGCCAGGGACGAAAAAAAGAGGCATCTACTTCCACCTTACATGCAGCACTGCCAGGCAGGAGATCTTGGCTTGTCCCCAAAATAGAAGGGGACAGTCTGGACCTGGCAACAAGTTACAGCCTCAAAACCCAGTATGGAGCCCTGGCATCATGTTCCTCAGTGGCCTTGTGCAGCCAAGCCACGTGCCTGTGTCCTAGAAGTAGCCATAAATTACAGAGAAAATCTCAGATTAGACAACAGCATTTACTTTTCATTTAGTTCTATTACACTCCTGGCCCTATGTAAGTAAGGCAACACATCTTGACGAATATTAGCTAAGATAAGGAATAACCCTAACAAAAGATCTGGTTTGGAGCAAATATGTCCTTGCTGCATTAAAAAGTTTATTCATGGACGTTTATCAGGTCAGAGCCTAGGTAGACATGCAGCTGGGCTGGTAAGCTACCTTAGCCAGCTGTCCTGACACCCCTCAGGGGAAGGCATTAGCTTTGCCTGGGAGGAATTAAATTTCTTTTCCCCAACGTGCTGGATGTTGTCCACACACAGAGGAAAAGACTGTTGCTGCTGTGCAAAGCCTCTTCCACTGCAATGGCCGAGACAGGCAAAGAGGGTTTTACCACTTTCTGCTCCACAGTGACAGCTGGGGCAGAGCCAAGCAGTGATTTGCCCAGTGTCCTCCAAATACTAGGAACAGGTGTTGCAAATCCTGTTTGTATATAGGGGAGATTCACAGGCCTCATTCACCTATTTTCCTAGCTCTTGTTTGACTAGCTTGTGTTGAGGGATGCGCCAAAAAATTGAGCTGTAGGAAGTCCTTCACAAAGCCTTCTCACACCTAACCCCTGGTGGAAGGGAAGGGCTATACCATGTGCAGAGCAGTGCTTGTGCGTTGCTCCTTGTGTTGCTACAGAGCGCTGCCTTTCCAAAGCAGCACTAAGGCATGTGAGCTTTCCACAGGGCTCTGTCAGGGTAAGATTTAGAGAACTGTTGAAGTTCAGACTTTTTCCACCCTTCCACTCTCCAAGGACTGAGACCCAGGTACTCCACCAGGGAGGCAATTCAGAAGCTGCTGCCTATAAGGCTTGGCAAACAAATATTTCTTGCTGTTGTAGCTAGCACTGTAGGAGGTCTAAAGGAACTGGAGTAGGATGCAATTTGTCTGCTTTTAGTGCTGGTGGTGGTAGTTGTAGCTCTGTGGTGTCTGTAACCAATGGGCAAGTGTTAGGCACTGCTCCTGCTTCAAAGGGTTTAAGACTGCATGGGGGAAGAAGGGCCTGCTGGCCCTGGAAGATGGACCTGAAACCTTCTGTGAGTTGGAAACACGTGTAATGCAGCCACACAGCACAGAACAGAACAGAAGGTAAATGGTGAAGGTGGACTAGGAGTGAGGTGGCTGAGGAGCTGATGTGCTCTGTGGCAGTGATGGCGGGGAGCAAGGCCATAAATGGCCACTGCAATTTCTAGGGGTAGAAAGGGAAGGAGATTTTGGTTGCTTTCCCGAACAGGCCCTGCAGTCAAATTCATGTTCCCATACCCTGGATGCTCGGGGAGCCATTCGCGCAGGGTCCTGGCCTGTCCATTGTCACTTCCTTGTTGAAGGCTTGCTGTTACCTGAGAACCAGTAAATCCAGAGAGCTGCCCCAGGAGCAGGTCCTGCGCCTGGAATAACAAGGGAAGCCACGAGCTTGCATAACAGTTACAGTCAGCCTTGTTCTTGTGTACTCCAGGTTTGCTGGAGATATGCAGCCACGAGGTGAAGGACACAGAGGTCTTCCTTATGAGGTAGGGAACAATATTATCTAAGGTAAGGAACAGACCAACAAAGGGGTCTGGAAGCGGGTAGTCTTGTCCTTGCCACATTGCATATGATAATATTTCTGTTACTGGCAGTTTATCTCACAGCTCCTATATAAAGCTGTGGAGTTGGAGTTGATCTGGAGAAAAGTCCGATATCCTGATAACCTCCAGGTATTCGTGGTGCAACATGCATTTTGGAAGAGTTTATTTTCCATTTCCTGTTCCAGGTCTTTCAAGCAGTGGTGGGGGAGTAGCAAAGCGGATCAGATGTAAAGAGGGAGATTTAAATAACTTGGTACCAGCAGCACCCTCAGTCTTCAGCCGCAGCTCCTTTGTCTGTTTTGGCCCTGCTGTCTAATTCGGAGGCACATATGTCCTGCAATTTGACATGTGGCCCTTAAGAGGGGAGGGCACAGTCCTGCCTTTAGTCTATTACTATAATTTGTGCTTTGAATTCTTCGCTTACTGAGCTGGGCTTGAGGAATATCAAGCATGCAGGGATCCTGCAGGGCACAGCTACTGACTTGCAGCAAAGGTTCAACAAGGGACCTGTGCTCTAGCAGGTTCAGGGAGAGAAAATGGTGATGTTTGCATGTATTTTCATCCCTTTTCACTTAGCCAGTATCTGGGAGAAAACTGCTTGGGAACGCTAGAACTAATATGCAAAACCTTCCAGCTCACATGCCCAATGGGGGCAATTTGGCTTCATATGAAATGAATGGCTACTGCATAGGCCTCAATTCCAGATCCTCCTGGAGTGGGGCTTCATATTCCAAATTAATGAGAAATAGTACAAATAGTGCCTCTATCTGAGCAAAAAGGCCAAAAATCAAATGGGTTGAGAGACTGACTTCAGTATCCTTCCCTGGTTAGGGCTGGCCCTTTTGGTTTAGAGAGCTAGCAGGCTAAGCGGAGGAGAAAGGAGGACTTCTCTTAGATATCTCCCAGCAGCACTGAATTCATGAAAGCAGTAGTCTTTTCTCCTTTTTTCAGTTTCCCACATCTCATTGCCCTGTCTGTTGAGGCTGCAGGTCTTCAGTAAATTTGTGAAGTGTGCAAGCTCATCTGTACCTTACACTGTTGACTTAGTTTAAAATATGACTACTCTCGGGGTTAGTGCTGGGAAGTCCATTCCTGTTAAGTGTTACCTCTTAGTCTGTTCCACGCATCTTAACTTGTTGCTTCACTGAAACCTTTCTCAGATGAATAGGTTGTTTTTTTTCCCCCTCAGCTTTGTGCACATCAGTAAACATGTCACTTCATAGTCTGTACTCTGTCAGCTGAGGCAATGGCCCTGCAAGACTGATAACCAGACAGGCATCATTGCTCTGCGTCTACCAGTAGCATGTTCTTGCAAAGGTAGTAATCCTTTACATCTCAGAAAATGTTTTTGAGCTGAACACAGATTTCTGCCATACTCCTGCAAGTCTCTCCTGCCTCTGATACTTAAAGCAGTTTGCAACTGCTCCTTGCTTCATTGATGGCTACTGAAATTACAGTAAGCATTATTAGCTTACTAGGAACTAGTGATGCAAACAGTCAGCTCTGCAGCCTGACCTAGTTTATGCTTTATTTTTATGACACAGACTCCTGCAAGTTCTGCCCACTGGTCCACTGCATTTCTGTCAAATACTTTAGATTGTCTCCGTATCGCTCCCAGGATGGGACTCAATATAATATTAGTTCAAACACTGCTACAGGAATTTTGTCTATTTGTGGGAGAGAGATTTGCCCCGATGTTTGTTTTGCGCCACCCCCAAATGCTTCTTTCTGCACTGAAATTCATCCTGTATTTCAAGTGCTAAATTCCTCTTTCTCAGCCAAAAGTTAATGAATTGTGCTTCACTCACTAAAGCTTGAACTTGCTGTCACATGGCAGTTTCATCTCATCTTCCCTGCTTTTGGTGGGAAGCCACTCTTGCAGGGAGTCTTCTCCTGAAAATGACCCACTGTTGGAAAACAGTCATTAAACATGGTGTTCAAGCGATATTCATGTGTGTCACCAGAGAATGGAAATATTTTTTAGATTCGTTTTCTATAAATTTCAAGACTAAGATTTGCATTCCTGTCCTCTGCTTTTTGCATTCTTTGCATTCTGCATGAAGGGATATAAAGTTTATTTTTTCACTGCCCTTGTTTTCTTATGAACATTAAAAGTTATCATTTTCAGTTCCTGTAAACTGGAATTTAGTTTTAAGTTACTTTAAGTAAATAGCTCTTCAAAGACTTTTTTTTTTAAAACCCAATCAGCACATTCAGAAATAAAATTGCTCAGGAAAGCATTCATCTGAGAACAGAATTCAGGAGACTAAATCAGTACTTTCTTATACGACAGCCTTTTTTCTGGGCAAACAGTAAGTGTTGGCTGATCACTATCATTTCATTTCAACAAACTGAGAAAGCCTAAAGTTCCAGATTTGTATTTTAGAGAAATGAATACATTCTGTAACTCAGCCCATCCCCATCAGTGATCAGAATTGTTTCTGGCAACTAAAGCGCCACAGTATACAAATAAACATAACATTTTGGATTGCATGCATGCTTTTTCCTGGCCTGTAGGTAGCAATGTTTACCGGGTGTCAGAGAACTTACTTTATTGCACGAATCAGAGCCTCTTCCCTAAACAACTTTTCACAGGCTGAGACCTTTGCATCGCGCAGGTCCTGGTCACTAAAAGTCTGTTGTAACAACAGCTGAAAGCCTATTCCCTTTGCAGTTGTTTTTTTCTTTTTTTTGCTGTACCATAAAAAAGTTATGTCCTGTGTTTACATGCTGATGTGAAACGCCCTGTTCTGAACACTCGCATTTTATCCCAGATTCAGCCTTGCCCTGTACCATAACATGAAATAAAGACTTGAAGCAATTTTGAAAGCTTTCTTTTATTCATATTGTAGACCCATTATTACATAAAACTGTGGCTGAAACAGAATTACACATGCAAAGTCATAATTACTGAGAACCAGAATTTCCTTTTCTTGACAGGAAGAAATCACTTGTCAAAATAAGGGAAGTTTTGGAACGAGCTCATTCTTTACCAATAGATAGCAGCACCAGGAGCCAATGAAAGAATTTCTGTGTTCAGGAATCATTGATTTTTGACGTATCATTGTACAAAGAGTCAAGGAGCTGTGGAATTCAATGTGAGAAAAATCTCAGAATAATTTTCAAGCAGTACTAAGAAATCTAAGAACAGGAGAAATGTGTGAGAACTAAAAAGAATCGCCTTTAAGATGCAAAATGACTTTCAAATAGTGGTATGAAGATGCTTTCTCTGACATGAAAACTATAGAATAACTCACTAGTTCTCTTTGATGCATACAGAAGAGAAGCAATATGGCCCCAAGCAAGCTGGGATTTGCTAGGGAAGCAACCTCCCCTAGCACAGGTGCCAGACTGCAGAGATAGGTTTAGTAAGAAGTGTGGCATCCAGTCGAGGAGCTGCAGTAAGAACAGCTTGTGTGGTAGTCGTTCATGCAGGAAGAGAGGGTTTGATTGTACTGTTAGTTTTGGACATAACGAAGGAATCTTTGTTCCAAGTACAAGATTGTGTGAATGCAGTCAGGAATGAGCCCGTTTCCCCGTGGGGTGACTATATCAGATTTAAGTGTAGCAGGGGCTCCAGAGAAGTAGGGATGGCACCCCATGCCAATCCCGTGGGGCTATCAGCGTGTTCATCGCACAGGGGCCAGGCCTACTTGGTTGTTGGCTCTGTCAAAAACACTGTAGTACTGGCAGAGGAAGACTTCACCAAGGATCCAGAGTTCTCCAGACTGGGCAGGGATGATGGTGCCTTCAAAACCACTCTTGCAATAGTCTTGATGCACCTGAAAATTCTTAGTGTGAATACTGAACTTAAATTCCAGTGATTTAGCTGAGTTACTGCATTCTGGAAGCACTGCAGGACTACTTTTAATGTGCATTAAAATCTTGAATACCCATCTTTAAGAAATATGAAGATGGACCAGGCCTTAGATGAGACACCCCCTTGAAACACATGTGCTGACTACAGAGAAGTTTTAACAGCAAGTCAGCCAGTCACCTGCTCAGGGTACTGTGCGTCGGCTAGATAAAGAAGTTGGAGCACTTAATTGGCATAGTTGTTCCCTTCAGTCTTGAGGGCTAATTCCGTTGGGAAGGATTTTGCTGTTAGTTTGGCTGCAGAAATATATGGGCTTACTCTTTGCCTTTCCTCAGCTGCAAGGTGCTAGTGGCTCATGCCAAAGGCTAGTGCTGTCCCCTCTAGAGTTAAGGGTTCTTTTCCTCTGAAGAACTCACTTTTTGCTTTTATCCTCCAATACACGTACACTGCAATGAGATGGCTTAACCTAACCTCCTGGTAGGGCAGCTGGATTTCCCTATTCCACTGAATTTCCCTGTCCTGGTGACAGCCTGTTGATGTTTGATGCCACTGAGGTGTCTGCCTCTCTTTTCCCCAGTCCTTTTCACATAGGCTCCCCTTAATCTTGGTTATTGCTTTTGGAGTCCTCTGGGGAGATCCTTAGGCCCCTTCAGTTTAGAGGCAAACACAGTTTGACCATCCATCACCTATGCCCTTCCAAGCCTTGTGCCGTGAGATGGGAGAGGAAAGTAAGCAGTGCAAACAGTGAGGTGGCTTCCGGTGCTAGTCCTCCAAACCAGCCCCCAAGGTCACTTTCTGGGCAGGCACTCACCTGATGGATGTAAGCCTTGGCAGGCACGGGGAACTTGATACCATTGATAACGAAGACAATGTCAGGCAAGCAGTTCTTGGCACTGCAGGTGACCACATACTGTAAGGGAAAATGAAATAAGCAGGGGGGAAAATTAAGCGTACCTCAGACAATCTTTCCAGAGGATCATGTGAAGAGAGGCAAGCTGCTTGTGGAGTGGCCAATAATTTTTACACAGCGAGATGTTTTCAGGAACTAAATGTGGCAGCTTCAGATTTGAAAGCAGCTTTTTTGGCTCAGACACCTAGTGGTGATTGGAGACTTGAAACATCAGGGGAACTGGGGAATCATCCTGTTGACCTGTACTCAGGACCACTGCAATCTGTGGTTATGCACTCACAGAATCAGAGACTTGGGAATCTGCTCTGGTCCCAGTCAGATCTGTGCAGTGCACAACTCAGTTCCCATCCACCCCTCCTTCCTGCTCTTACCTCACCATTGGAGTCCTCGCTGGCACCAATGCTGTGATGGATGACAGTGATGGAATCAAGGGGCCCAGCCAGCAGAGAGGTACCAGTGTCGATCATAGCTTGGCAACCCCTTGGGCAAGCAATGACCTGGCCATTCATGGTGATGCTAAAAAATGAAGTCCCAGAACACTTTGATCTCATTTGATCTCACTTACTACCTAAATCCCAATGAGTGTCTTACTGAAGTCAGATGGGGAAAATTTCACCTGGCTGCCAAAGATGTATCTATTGCTCCTGTAACCCACTGTAAATGTATCAGTATGTGCTGTTAACTTCCAGCTGGTGCAGATACTTGTACAAGTGTGTTGCTCTGTGGAGGTGAGTGCGTCACAGCAAGCTCCTCTTGTGGAAAAGTTGTGAACCACTGACCCAATATTCCAGCAGGTGAACCTTTGCCTATGTTTTGTGCAAGGTGTTTGCATGGCTCCCTCTCCTGTCTCTATATCGTGCATTTTCTAAGCTGAATTTCCTTTGTTTGCTCTAGATATCTCACTTCTGCCTCTCTGTGCCTAAAGCTTCAAGTTGTACAGGGAAGCGCAGAACTTACCTGTCCATAGAGATTTGCCAGTAAGTTTCAGCGGACAGAGGGATCCAGTTGAGTCTTCCAGAGAAGCAGGAATCGTCAATGCCTCCAAACGTCACAAAACTCCTTGTCTTGTTCTCACTAGAGAAGAGAGAGGGGACAGCAGAGAGATGTTGAGTGAATGGTAAAAGAGTAGATAATAATTGCATAAAACATTGCAAAAAGACTGCAAGTGGGGAACTCTGAGGTAGCTCGGAAGTATGGTTTTTCACAGCAGTCCTAAAACTGTTGTCATCTATTTCAGGACGCAGAACACGATGGTGGGACTCAGTGCTGCTCTAAGTTGAAATCAGTTTAAACTTTCCATGACACTTCAACTCTATAAACCTGATTCTCCCCAAATTTTCCAAATGTGGTTCTTATGCCACTGTTCATGATGCTCCCAAAAATGCATGGTTTGTGACTAGCCTTGAACATCTCCCATTTTCCACCCAAGGATTGCCTGGAGTTCGGGAATTCTGCTGGAGACCTCTCTGGGAACAACTGCTGAGAGACATGGTATACAGGTATGAGAGACAGGTATACAGGTATGCATCTTGTCACAGACCAAGGGGATCTTCCAGCCCCAACTTACGAGCTGAGGTAAAATGAGAAGACAGCCTGAGATATCAAACCACGATTCATCATGTTGTCAAAGACAGGGATGGCTGTAGACGCAGCAATGCTGGGGAAGGCCAGGCCCAGGATACCATCAAAAGGAGCATAATAGAAAAAGGAACCAGGCTCGTGCTCACTCAGGCCAATGGTCTGGTTGCTGACCTGGATGCTTCCAACCTTGTTAGAGAAATGGAGGGAATGAGACACGCTGCATTCTGGAAAAATCTGTCCTTTCCTACCAAAGGGAGCGGGGAATCCTCTGGAATATTCCAGAAGTGTGCTACCTTCTCTGTTCCTCACATGAGAACCCTGAGATAGCTCACAATTGAGCTGTGACGAGCACAAAATACAAAGCTCAACTACATCCCACCTTTGCAAAGGATGCTGCTGAGGAAAGGCCAGGGGAACAGTCACTGCCTACAGCAAGCGGCTGGGGCACCTGCTTGGCACGAGGGTAGACTGAGTGCAGGCAGCTGGGAGGGCTGAATCGCTCAGGCCAGTTGGTGAAGGTTGTTGGCTGTCTTAGCTCTGCTTGGCGGCAGAGGGCACCAAACAACACAGAGAATCTCTGCACGTTCTCCAAAAACAGGTAAGACTAACTGAAGGGATGAATTGGGACACTTCAGGTTTCTTCACTTCAGGTTTGCTTGTTACTGATGCAATTATGGCTGGGTTAATGTCTGTTATTTTAATTTCTGTTGAATAACGTTTGATTTGACTCCCTGCGTATAGAAACCTTTCCTGGGCTCAGAATGAGGCTGGGCTACTCAGAAGGTTTAAATGGCTCATATGTAACACTAAAAGAAAGCACCTGGCAACTTCAGAAGGTATCCTTGCTAGATAGGGTCCAGTTTGTCTACTGTCACCTAACTTTGGCAGTAGAGGGAACATTTTATTAATGTTTCCACTAACAGTAACTTGGGAACAACTTCGACTTGAATTCATTCCATTTAAAAGCAGCTTGCAGGCTGCATAGTATCTGTGCTGCTCCCACTAGCCATAGCATGTGGTGTTTCTTGTCTAGCTGACAGGACAAAAAGGGCAGATGAGATGCATGAGAGCCCGGGAGCACTGAGAACCCAGGAAGGGGCAGAGGGTATTCTCAGGTGGGGATACAGGAAAAGCTGTGCTTACTGCAGTTGGAAATGTAGCATACAACTCTGGAGAAGAATCCTCTACTAATGGAAAACCTTTTCCCAGCTCTGACCTGTCTTTACACCCCCTCATACCTTCCCTTTTCCACTCTAGGTACCAGGACCTTTTCATGTGACTCACATGCACAGTTTCATTGGCCAAGACTCCAGTCATGCTGCCAGTGCCATAGTAGATAGAGACAGGCTGGTTGATGGCTCGGTAGGTGGAAGATTGCTGGGGACTGAAGTGGTTGTGGTTGACTGCAATTGCGGAAGAGTTGGATTGTCACAACCTTGACCCTCCGTGAAGACAAAGGTCAAGGCTTAGACATTGCTGCAGCTGGCAGGACTGGTGCATTTATGGAACATTTTATGTTCTGATACTGCCCAAGACCGGCAGGAATTCACATGTGAATACTGGAGATGAACTGGAGGTAACTCATTTAGGAGGATTCCCTGACCCCTCCAGGTCATGAACATAGATAGGAGGATGGGAACCTCCAAAAGCTGATTTGAATGGGCTGTATTCCTCTGGGCAATGCACACTTGTGCCAGAGGGAAGAAGCTCTTCTGCTCCCTCTACAGCATGGATTTGAGATGCCATTTCCATTCCAGACTGCTGGGACCCACCGCTGTATGTGGTTGCCATACAAAACTGGTAATCTAGCAGCATTTGGACAAAACCATGCCTCAGGCTGTTTCCACCCGCCATTTAGCAGAGTTTAGCATATGGCCAAAGCTCCAAGTTACCAAATGGACCATGTGCTCTAATGGTCTGACGTCCTGTCTCCTCCTCACCACATTGCCATCTAGGCAGGCCATAGGATTGTCTCAGGGTGTCTGATCCCTCAGAAGGGAAGCATCTCCTATAACTTTCACCCTTGCTGTCCTTAGATGCTTTCTACAATGCCTGGAAAAGCACTGCCAACAATTTTGTTTCACGAACTGGAAGTTTGTGCTTGATCCTTTATCTGCTCTTAGCTCTCCCAGGGGAGAGACAAGTCAGACCTCACCTCAGAGGAAGTGTAATCACAGCCGAGGACAGTCCCTGTCACTGAAAATCACAGTACCGTACTTTCAACTGAGAGCATCTCTGTCCAAGAGGCTCTGCTACCAGGCTTATGTGAACACCATGAACTCCCCTCCCAGACACTCAAGCATGGTGACATAGTATTATTAAGAAACAACGCCAGGTACAGCTGGTAGAAATCCACTCACCACCAGTGTGCGAAGACTGCCATCACTTACCACAGGCCTCGCTGGAGCAGTTCACTGAGGGCACCCACAGGTTGGAGGAACCGGTGTCAAAGAGCACAAGGAACTCTTGGGGTGGGGATCCAATGGAGATGGAGCCGATAAACTCAATCTGTCAGTGGGAAAGAGGAAGGTTTCAAAGGGAGCAAACCTTTGCCATGTGGAGGCAGTGCCTTCAGGAAAATGAAAAGCCTTCTGTGGGAGAGCTTCTCCCATTACATTTCATCAAGTGCACATCTGGGGTTTGGGTTCTGCACATAGGGACAAGACAGGCAGCAGCAAGTAGAAACATTTTGGGGGGGGAAGAAGATTGCAGCCTCTGCAGGGCAGCAGGAAGGAGATGTAAGCAAAAGATGTGCCACATTGAAGAATGGAGAGAACTGTGCTGTTTCACAGAGAAGCCAGAGTCAGTTGCCCAGGAGATAGATAAGATCTTCAGGATAAAAAATGGGAGTAGAACTTTTCATATAAGGAGAAAAATAATTAAAACATATTTTCCTTGTTTTTAGGGGCTGCTGCTAGGACTCCTAACTGTTCCCTAAAACAAGCAGAGCTGTGTGCTTCAAAAATACCCTCCCGACACACTTACATCCATGTAGTTTTCCAGGGGGTCAGTGGCAATCCTGTTGGTAAGGTTGAAGAACTTGGAACCCACATTTGAAGGCAATTTTTTGGGGAAGTCCTCCAGCAAACCCAGTTCCTTAAGTCTGCACCTCAGGGTCTTCACTTTCTTCAGTGGGATCCTAACCAACAAGAGGTGTGACAGAGCCAAATAGCACATGAAGAAGAGGTTAGCCTTGGGTTTAGATAAGTCCATGCACATCGCATGTTGATACTGCTGTCTTTTATCATAAACCTTATCAGATATGGGGACCTAGGCGCTCAAATTCTGCTTGGAAGTTGGTAGATTTAAGATATATAATCCCTTACATCATTTTGAAGTTGTATTTCAAAACGTGACTATTATGACAGAGTATCTAGCACACCCAGTGGGCCGGACATTAGCCACATGCACATTGGAAGACTTTTTGCTGTGCAGAGCCCCTTCCACTGCAAAGGATGGGACAGGCCAAGAGGATTCTCCTAACCCTCCTGCTCCACAGTGAGAGCTAGGTCAGTTTCTTGTCCATGTTCACATCAAGGGCCGATTTCATCTAACTAAAAAGATGTATTATGTACCTGCATGAGCTAAGCACTGCTTAGCTTCTGCTGTAAATAATGGAGAGAAAAGAATTCTTTTTGGGCATGGCTCACTAGCCTATTTTAGACAGGTATTTAAGAATAAAATATTTGTGCCTCTGTTTGTGGGAGAATCAGGGACTGCAAACCTGACCTGCTGAGTATTAATCTAGCACCTGAACTGCTGCACCTTTTCCTTGGTATTTGTACTGCTGTGGAAAAATAACAGGGAACTTCCTCCCTGCTGCCCTTCTATAACATAAGGTAGAAAGACCACATACTGTGAATCGTCACGGAGAATCCCCCTCCCTGTTGCCACAGGGAAGCTGCGTTCTTCCACCTGAAGCAATGTGCTCCCCTAGCACTCACCTGACCACGCTCTGCGAGAGCACCACCAAGCTCAGGAGCAGGGGCAGCTTCATGATGTGTCCTTATGTCCAGGAAGGGGAAGGAAGGGAATGCTGCCTACGGAGCAACACGTTGGTGCTGCTGTTTGCTCATATGCAAAGTTTCTATATCTACATAGCAGCGCTGATAAGAAATGCAGGCTTTTCTGTCAAACATCTTAAAGGAAGTATTTGGGAAAAAAATGTTCTTTCTCACTTTGGCAAGGACTAACACCTTTACAACCAGATCTCTTCCAGTGGGAAGGAGAGAGTGTTAGGAGACAGAACTTGCTTAAAACAAAGTGTTTCCAGTCATTTTATTTCAAATTAATGGTGCTAATAAATAGAGAAATGGATATATCCTTCCATGTGAACCAGAAAACACCAGTTTTTCAAATGTTTGATTGCTGGAGTAACACTTGAGCGTTTGCATGGAGTACTTTTCCATTCTAGCTGCTTCTTCATTCATTGTGAAGAACAAATTTGAACACAACTTTGCTGTTGTGTTCTGCTCAATCCTTTGATGCAAATTTTTAATGAAATGTGCTTCAGTCTTTCCATGGTCATAGAAACTGCTTCTCAAATGAGCCTTGAAAATACCCATCTCTCTTTGGAAAGTCAAGTCCATTTCTTGCAATAACACTATTTTGACCTGGTTATCAGCAACGATACAAACAAATCAGTCTTTGATTAGACCATATGGTACCTGTCTGCGTTCATATGACTCATACTATACAATAGTCAATGGTTCTCACGTGGTGCTTGTTTCTTGTAGAGAAGAGAGGTGCTTTTCCTAAGAGATATGTGCCTCGATCCCAGAACTTTTGAATGACCTTGACGAGCACTTTGCATTCTCCTTCACGTTCCTCAGTGCTCCTGAGCCTGCTTCACCTAGCAACACGGAGGTTGTTCCCATCCTAAGATTGCCGTTAGCACTGCTTGCTTACACAATACAGAAGTATGAGCAGAAAACTGCAGGACAATAGAGGATCTAGACTCTGGCTCACAGCTTTGTTTCACGCTGCCCAGGAATTTTCCTGTATTTCATGCAAGGAAGACCTAACACACGTATTCAAGAGAGATTCAATTTTATTTCTGTGGTTCCAGCAATGTCACCTGAAATAATGTTGTTATATGAATTTTTGACGCATTGCAGAGGTCTGTAGGTACTGCCTCTATTTCAGGCCCCAGCTAAGCAGTCTACATTTTTTTTAATCACACCTCTGCTCCTCTGTTCTCTCTTCTGTTCCACTTCTATCAACTTTTATCCCCTATCTCCAGTTCTGCTATCCTTTACTCCCACTTACCTCTCCATGCTCACCTTGGCTCCCCCCCCTTTACTTGGGAGGCAAATCTTATTTAATTTTCACTTCTCATAGGGCTGGACTTAATAGGAATATAGCAAGAGAATTCAGGTTACTTGAAATGACAAGTATTTGACTGCTTGGAACACTGGCAGCTATTCAGAGCAAGATGACCTGCAGAGAATAACGCAGCTTCAAAGTGGATCTCCTTGCTCGTAGACCTCCTTTCTAGAATATAAACTGCAAAAGAAGGCTGGCTACATGGAAGATCCAGGTTGAGAGGCCTTGGTGAGATGGAGACAAAGACAAGAAAGAGTCATCTGTACTGCTTCAACTCCAACCACAAATCTAGCAGCAGCTCAAACCTGCTACTCCTGAATTTGAACCAGTTGCCTACCCTGTACACATCCTAAGATGTGTTAAAAGCCCTTTTAACTCTGTTGCAAAGATTAATCTTTGCTTATGGCTCTGCAGTCTTTCTCTTTTCCAAATGAGTTTGACAGGTTAAAAAAAAGGTCAGTAACAACAGCTGATACACAGAGCAGAGCTGATACAGAGACTTCTGTGATTGCACGCACAGGAGAGTCACAGAGCTGCTGTTATCACTCCAAAATCCAATGCCCCCCCCCATACAGATCCACACGTACATGTGCAGTCAGCCACGAGAAAAAGAACCTTGCGCTTCATGACAGCTGCCTTTCTGGGCTGATATACGAAGCTGACAAAACTGTAATGCGCAGTACCCAGGCGCTTGCAATGGTATTCACTGCAATCAACTGCTTACATTTTGAGGCAGCCCGTTTTTATGAATCAGCTGTCACCTAGAGCAGTCATGACAGGGTCGAAAGGCACTGAGGGCGCCCTCGAGCGCAGGCAATTTTAAGGAGAGCAGCTGAGGGAACGGGTGCGAGGCCCTGCCTCAAGCCGGGGCCAGCAGCG